GGTGACTTTACGGAAAAGAGCCAGCAATGTGAATCGCTGCAGTCACCAGAGCTTCGGACCAATAATGATTATTGTTGCTCAGTCCGCCCCGCCGCGCGATCCCGGGCAGCAACGCGCCACCGACACGACGGGCTTCCAACCCCCCCCCGCCGGCCAAACGCAAAACCCCCGGGGGGGCGTCCGCCGCGGCCCTCCCGGTCAGCCGTCGATCCTCGGCCTCTTTGCCACCCCCCAAAGCCCGCCGCGGTGAACTTAACGTGCTTGCGTGATAACTTTTTACGAAACTCGGTGTCCCCGAGGGAGCCCTTTCGACGAGTTTCAATCGGTTGACCGCTCGTTTTGTTTGTCGGCCAAGGCGGCGAGGCTAGTGTCGCCGACGCGGTTTCGCCCACCCCGGGGGCGGCGATGGGACCCCCCCGAGGGTCCCGCCAATTGCTTCATTTTGCAAGCGAAGCCTTGGATTGCGAGTAGCTTGGTCAGCGGGCAAAAATTTTAAGTAAACGTTAACTTTTTTTGTTTGTTTGCAAGCCATCTGGCTACCATGAGAGATTCGTTCATGAGGCCATCCACACGTACGAACACAGGGACAATTTTCAACCGAGAAGATGGATTCTGGCTTAGCAATCATTGGAAGGATTCGATAAACCATTCCGGGTCTTAATTGATTGTTTATGCTTATGGTTACCATGAGAGATTTGTTCATGAGGCCATCCACACGTACGAACACAGGGACAATTTTCAACCGAGAAGATGGATTCTGGCTTAGCAAACATTGGAAGGATTCAATAAACCATTTTGGGTCTTAATTGATTGTTCACGCTTACGGTTACCATGAGAGATTCGTTCATGAGGCCATCCACACGTACGAACACAGGGACAATTTTCAACCGAGAAGATGGATTCTGGCTTAGCAATCATTGGAAGGATTCGATAAACCATTTCGGGTCTTAATTGATTGTTCAGGCTTACGGTTACCATGAGAGATTCTACACTACTATACACTACACTATACACTACACTATACACTACACTATTCACTACACTATACTATACACTACACTATACTATAAACTACACTATACACTACACTACTACACTACACTATACTCTACTATACACTACACTATACACTACACTATACACTACACTATACACTACAATAATATACACTACACTATACACGACACTATACACTACACTACACTATACACTACTACACTATACTATACACTACATCATACACTACTATACACTACACTATACACTACACTATACACTACTATACACTGCACTATACACTACATTGTACACTACTATAAACTACACTATACACTAAACTATACACTACACTATACACTACAATAATATACACTACACTACTATACACTACACTATACATTACACTATACACTACACTATACACTACACTATACACTAAACTATACACTACACTATACACTATACACTACACTATACACTACACTATACACTACTATACACTACACTATACACTACACTATACACTAATATACACTACAATATACACTACACTATACACTACTACACTATACACTACACTACCATACACTACACTACACACTACACTATACACTACACTATACACTATACACTACACTATACACTACACTATACACTACACTACACACTACACTATACACTACACTATACACCACACTATACACTACACTACACACTACACTATACACTACACTATACACTAAACTATACATTACACTATACACTACACTATACACTACACTGTACACTACACTATACACAGACTTTTCCGGGAATCCGTGACCGGGATTTGCTTGCAGCAATTCCAGGAAATAAATAAATAAATAAAACCCTACCCGGGCGGGTTCACGGGAAAGATTTCAGAGCCGGGTAAATATTTGTCGGAGATAAATTATCTCCTGACATGTATCAACACTACAAAGACAAAGATCCCCCAGGTAGCCTCTAGCAGGCTGTAGGGGCAAGTGCTGTAGTTAGTAGCGAGTAGCAGCACCTACACACACACAGACAAAGATCCCCCAGGTAGCCTTTAGCAGGCTGTAGGGGCAAGTGCTGTTAGTAGCGAGTAGCAGCACCTACACACAGACAAAGATCCCCCAGGTAGCCTCTAGCAGGGCTGTAGGGGCAAGTGCTGTAGTCAGTAGCGAGTAGCAGCACCTACACACACATACAAAGATCCCCCAGGTAGCCTCTAGCAGGCTGTAGGGGCAAGTGCTGTAGTTAGTAGCGGGTAGCGAGTAGCCCAGGTATGGGAAACTCTCCACTCTCTCCACAACTGCCCCAACTCCCATTGGGAGTTGTGGGGGTGGAGTGTCCGAAGGTACAAAATACCCAGGCAGGTGCTTGTCTTTGGTGGGGCTGATGGTAAGGCCCCATCTCTTAGTGGCACGCTCCAATTTCAGCAGCAGCGTCTCCAACTCCTCCTCTGAATGAGCAGCAATTACCAAATCATCGGCATACATAATGTGGTTGACCAATAGGGAGCCAGCCCTTGACCGCACCCGGGTATCGATCACCCTCCCATTGTATCTGTACCATATGGAGATTCCCCCGGTACAGCTATTGAAGGCTTCACGAACTACGTGGTCAAAATAGATGTTAAATAATATGGGAGCCAGAGGACATCCCTGTCGCACCCCAAAGTGAACAGGGAATGGCTCTGACTCCCGGCCACGTAGTTTTACCCGGGCCCGCTCACCATCATGAAGGTCCTTAATGGTCGTGAGCAGAGGGTCAGGGACTCCGAAAACACGAAGAACAACCCAGAGCCCATGCCTACTGATGGTATCATAGGCCTTGACCAGGTCAATAAAGCAGAGATGTAGGTCTTGTTGGAATTCCCTACACCTCTGCTGTAGCAGACGGACAGAAAATATGGCATCTGTGCAGGATCGCCCTTTCCTGAAACCGCATTGGGGCTCCGCAAGCCTCTCCTCAGCGTGCCTGGCAAGGCGATGTTGAATAATCCTTGCCAGGACTTTTCCCGGCACACTGAGGAGTGAGATGCCCCTGTAGTTGTTACAGTCTGTGCGGTCCCCTTCTTAAAGAGGGGGACCACCAGGGCATCCTTCCAATCCTGCGGAACCCGTCCAGTGGGCCAGACTGTTGTTATGATGTCATATAGGGCAGTCTGTGCACAAACGCCACCCTCCCTCAGCATGTCGCTTGGGAGATCATCTCTGCCCGGTGCCTTTCCTGGTCTCAGACTCCGGATCGCCTTCAGTACTTTCTCAACAGATGGCACCTCAGCCAGCCACTCACAGGGGGTGACTTCTTCCAAAATTTGAGGCACCGCAGCCTCAGCAGGGTCATCCCCACTTTGTGCCACGATGTTTTCCTGGCTGAGGGGTTTCCCCTCCCCCAGGACCTCACAGACTTGCTCAGCAAATCTGCAAACCTGTTCCTGGGGGACGGAGATTGGATCACCGTTTTTTCCCCTAATGATGGTAATAGGTGTGGCGCTGCAGGTTACATTTTTGATGGAGTTAAATAGAGATTTGTCATCACGGGCCACTAAGGCAAATTCCATCTCCTCAGAAACCCGTGACCACCACCCATCCTTGCAGTGCCTCACGCTCCACGAACCTCCAAGCGACGGCTCCGGTAAGCCTCCTCATTCTCTGATGTGGGACGCTGTAGACGATGAGAGTGGGCCTGTCGCTTTTTCTCAGGCAGCCTGAACCCCTCCTCTGTCAGCCAGGGTCTCTGGGGAGGTCTGGTCCGTGTACCCAAAGCAGCCATTGCAGCTGCATGAGTCACAGTCCTAAACCTCGCCCATTTACCCTCGACATCAGGAGGAGTGGGGGACGATGCCAAACCCAGCCGCAGGCGATGATGAAATTCTCGCTTGCAGCTTTCATCAGATAGCTTAGACCAGGCCATTATGGGTTTGAATGGAGTCCTGGGTGTACACCCACCACCGGAGTGGAAGAATGGCAGGCGCATTTTACAAATGACTAGTCGATGGTCAGTGGGCATATCAGCTCCACGGTAGGTCCTGGTGTCAAGGACATGGGCCCGCATCCGGTGTTCTGTCACGATGTAGTCCAGCAGATGTTCTTGCTTGGACCCGGCATGCATCCATGATGTTGTGTGGATGCGCTAATGCCGGAATAGCGTGTTGGTAATTACAATTCCATGGGCTGCACAAAAATCTAGCAGCCTCCTACCGTTGTTATTGAGCTGATCTGGCCCATGCCTTCCAATCACTCCAGACCAGGTGCCAGCATCATGACCAACTCGGGCATTGAAGTCACCCAACATGATGACTCTATCCCGAGGGGTCACTTTAGCCAGCACCTGTGACAGGAGGTCATAGAAGGCATCTGACTCATCGGCCTTGTCTGCATCTCTCCACGGATGTTCGTCTTCGGTGGGGGCATAAGCAACCACGACCACCACTCCTCGCCTCCGGTTGATGGGAAGGCGAGCCCAAAGTAGCCTGGGGCTTACAGCTTCCCACACCTCACCGCCACGCTCCCACACCCCCTTCATTCTTTTGTTCAGAAGAGCCACACCCTATTGTTTGGCAGTCAGCTGCCCCGAGTAGAGGACTGTCCACCCCTCATGGTGGCGGGAGCCAGAACCGGTCCACCGGACCTCCTGAATGCCGCAGAGATCCAGGCGGTACCGGTCCAGCTCCCGACAGAGGAGCGGCAGCCTCTCCTCCGCAGTGAGCGTTCGAACATTCCCACGTGGCCACACGAAGCGGCTTTTCGTTGTTTCTGGAGGAGCCCCGAGGGTAGAGATTCAATCTCCTGGCTCCGCCAATTGGGGTTGTCGCCAGGCGACGTCACTGACGCCTGTCCACCCTCACCCCGGGGCCTCCGGCACAAGCTTATTGTGGATACCTTTGGCGTCGGTTTTGTGGTCATTAAATTGAAGGCGGAGGGGTTGGCCAGCCCCTCGCACCCGTCCAGAGCCCCCCCCCTCCCGGTTGGCCGCTGTGGTGGCTACAAACGCCACGGAGAGGAATGGCAAAGCTGAGTTGGCCCTCCCCCCCCCACGGCACTGCTCACCACAGCGTTGCCGGCGGGCACCACGAGCAGGTTAGGGGGTTGGTTTGCCGGACACCACCGCAGCCACCACCACCAACCATCACCACCACCACCACCACAACCCACCCACCCTCACCTCGAGTTAATCATTCTCCCCGCCGAGACCATTTAAAGACAACGCAGTGAGCCCACTGGAATGACCACAAACCAACCGCAGCGGCCTGGCCGAACACACGTTGACGACACACCGACAATACATTGGCCATACATTGACCATACATTGACTATACATTGACTATACATCGACCATACATTGACTACACATTGACTACACATTCACCACACATTGACCATACATTGACCATACATTCACCACAGATTCACCACACACACCGAGAATACATTGGCCACACGTTGACCATACATTGACCATACATTGACCACACACACCGACAATACATTGGCCATACATTGGCCATACATTGACCATACATTGACCATACATTCACCACACGTTGACGACACATTGACCATACATTGACCATACATTGACCATACATTCACCACACATTGACCATACATTGACCATACATTGACCACACATCAACCATACATTGACTACACATTGACCATACATTGACCACACATTGACCACACATTGACCATACATTGACCATCCATTGACCATACATTGACCATACATTGACCATACATTCACCACAGATTCACCACACATTGACCATACATTGACCATACATTGACCATCCATTGACCATACATTGACCATACATTGACCATACATTCACCACAGATTCACCACACGTTGACCACACATTGACCATACATTGACCATACATTGACCATTCATTGACCATACATTGACCATACATTGACCATACATTCACCACAGATTCACCACACGTTGACCACACATTGACCATACATTGACCATACATTGACCATACATTCACCACACATTGGCCACACATTGACCATACATTGACCACACACACCGACAATACATTGACCACACGTTGACCACACATTGACCATACATTGACCACACATTGACCATACATTGACCATACATTGACCACACACATTGACCATACATTGACCATACATTGACCATACATTGACCATACATTGACTACACATTGACCATACATTGACCGTACATTGACCATACCTTGACCACACACACCGACAATACATTGGCCATACATTGACCATACATTGACCATACATTCACCACACATTGACCATACATTGACCATACATTGACCATACATTGACCATACATTCACCACACGTTGACCACACATTGGCCACACGTTGACGATACATTGACCATACATTGACCATACATTGACGACACACCGACAATACATTGACCATACATTGACCATACATTCACCATACATTGACCACACATTGACCATACATTGACCATACATTGACCATACATTGACTACACATTGACCATACATTGACCATACATTGAAAACACACATTGACCATACATTGACCATACATTGACCATACATTGACCACACATTGACCATACATTGACCATACATTGACCACACATTGACCATACATTGACTACACATTGACCATACATTGACCAAACATTGATAACACATTGACCATACATTGACCAAACATTGACTTCACATTGACCACACGTTGACCATACATTGACCATACATTGACCATACATTGACCACACATTGACCATACATTGACCATACATTGACCATACATTGACTACACATTGACCATACATTGACTACACATTGACCATACATTGACCATACATTCACCACACATTCACCACACATTGACCATACATTGACCATACATTGACCATACATTGACCATACATTGACCATACATTGACCATACATTGGCCACACATTGATTACACATTGACCATACATTGACCATACATTGACTACACATTGACCATACATTGACCATACATTGACCATACATTGACCATACATTGACTACACATTGACCATACATTGACCATACATTGACCATACATTCACCACACATTGACCATACATTGACCATACATTGACCAAAGCGGTCTACCTTCCTTCGCCCGCCTCATCGGCGAGGTGAGAGAGAGACTATCTCCGTAAAGTATAGTGTAGTGTATAGTGTAGTGTATAGTGTAGTGTGTAGTGTAGTAGTGTAGTGGTGTAGTGTAGTGTGTAGTTTAGTGTGTAGTGTGTAGTGTAGTGTATAGTGTAGTGTATAGTAGTGTAGTGTATAGTAGTGTATAGTGTAGTGTATAGTGTAGTGTATAGTGTAGTGTATAGTGTAGTGTATAGTAGTGTAGTGTATAGTGTAGTGTATAGTGTAGTGTATAGTGTAGTGTATAGTGTAGTGTGTAGTGTATAGTGTAGTGTATAGTGTAGTGTATAGTGTAGTGTATAGTGTAGTGTAGTGTGTAGTGTATAGTGTAGTGTATAGTGTAGTGTATAGTGAAGTGTGTAGTGTAGTGTAGTGTGAAGTGTAGTGTATAGTGTAGTGTGTAGTGTAGTGTATAGTGTAGTTTATAGTGTAGTTTGTAGTGTGTAGTGTATAGTGTAGTGTACAGTGTAGTTTGTAGTGTGTAGTGTATAGTGTAGTGTAAAGTGTAGTGTGTAGTAGTGTATTGTGTAGTGTATAGTGTAGTATATAGTGTAGTGTGTAGTGTGTAGTGTATAGTGTAGTGTATAGTGTAGTGTATAGTGTAGTGTGTAGTGTAGTGTGTAGTGTAGTGTATAGTGAAGTGTGTAGTGTAGTGTGTAATGTAGTGTGTAATGTAGTGTATAGTGTAGTGTATAGTGTAGTGTAGTGTATAGTGTAGTGTATAGTGTAGTGTATAGTGTAGTGTATAGTGTAGTGTATAGTGTAGTGTATAGTGTAGTGTATAGTAGTGTTTAGTAGTGTATAGTGTCGTGTATAGTGTAGTGTATAGTGTAGTTTGTAGTGTGTAGTGTATAGTGTAGTGTATAGTGTAGTGTATAGTGTAGTGTACAGTGTAGTGTGTAGTGTGTAGTGTATAGTGTAGTGTATAGTGTAGTGTATAGTGTAGTTTGTAGTGTGTAGTGTTTAGTGTAGTGTATAGTGTAGTGTATAGTGTAGTGTACAGTGTAGTGTATAGTGTAGTGTATAGTGTAGTGTATAGTGTGTAGTGTATAGTGTAGTGTATAGTAGTGTAGTGTAGTGTATAGTGTAGTGTGTAGTGTAGTGTATAGTGTAGTGTATAGTGTAGTGTATAGTGTAGTGTGTAGTGTATAGTATAGTGTATAGTGTAGTGTATAGTGTAGTGTAGTTTATAGTGTAGTGCATAGTGTAGTGTAGTGTATAGTGTAGTGTATAGTGTAGTGTATAGTGTAGTGTATAGTGTAGTGTGTAGTGTAGCGTATAGTGTAGTGTATAGTGTAGTGTGTAGTGTATAGTGTAGTGGCTAGTATATAGTGTAGTGTATAATGTAGTGTATAGTGTAGTGTATAGTGTAGTGTATAGTGTAGTGTAGTGTATAGTGTAGTGTATAGTGTAGTGTATAGTGTAGTGTATAGTGTAGTGTATAGTGTAGTGTATAGTAGTGTAGTGTATAGTGTAGTGTATAGTAGTGTTTAGTAGTGTATAGTGTCGTGTATAGTGTAGTGTATAGTGTAGTGTATAGTAGTGTATAGTAGTGTAGTGTATAGTGTAGTGTATAGTAGTGCATATTTTAGTGTATAGTGTAGTAGTGTAGTAGGGTATAGTGTAGTGTATAGTGTAGTGTATAGTAGTGTATAGTCGTGTATAGTGTAGTAGTGTAGTGTATAGTAGTGTATAGTAGTGTATAGTGTAGTGCATAGTGTAGTGTATAGTGTAGTGTATAGTAGTGTATAGTGTGGTGTATAGTGTAGTGTATAGTAGTGTATCGTAGTGTATAGTGTAGTGTATATTAGTGTATAGTGTAGTGTAGTGTGTAGTGTATAGTGTAGTATATATTAGTGTAGTGTATAGTGTAGTGTATAGTGTAGTGTATAGTGTAGTGTATAGTGTAGTGTAGTGTGTAGTGTATAGTGTAGTATATATTAGTGTAGTGTATAGTGTAGTGTATAGTGTAGTGTATAGTGTAGTGTGTAATGTATAGTGTAGTATATATTAGTGTAGTGTATAGTGTAGTATATAGTGTAGTGTATAGTGTAGTAGTGTATAGTGTAGTGTATAGTGTAGTGTATAGTGTAGTGTATATTAGTGTAGTGTAGTACTATATAGTGTAGTGTATAGTGTAGTGTATAGTGTCGTGTATAGTGTAGTGTATAGTGTAGTGTATAGTAGTGTATAGTGTAGTGTATAGTGTACTGTATATTAGTGTATAGTGTAGTGTATAGTGTAGTGTATTGTGTAGTGTATAGTGTAGTATATATTAGTGTATAGTGTAGTGTATAGTGTAGTGTATAGTGTAGTAGTGTATAGTGTAGTGTATAGTGTAGTGTATATTAGTGTAGTGTATAGTGTAGTGTATAGTGTAGTGTATAGTGTATTGTAGTAGTGTATAGTGTAGTGTATAGTGTAGTGTATATTAGTGTAGTGTAGTAGTGTATAGTGTAGTGTATATTAGTGTAGTGTATAGTGTAGTGTATAGTGTAGTGTATATTAGTGTAGTGTAGTAGTGTACAGTGTAGTGTATAGTGTAGTGTATATTAGTGTAGTGTAGTAGTGTATAGTGTAGTGTATAGTGTAGTGCATATTCTTGGCGTGCAAGTCCCTCACCAAATCGGCAATCCCACAGCTCCCTTGTGCCGACAGCGATGAACGCTCCCAGCGTATCTGGCCTCGACCGCCACCACCACCACCACCACCGCCACCACCACCACCGCCACCACCGCCACCACCGCCACCACCTCCTCATCCTCGCCGTCATCGTCTGTGTCACCGACCGAGCTCTGCCCACGGCCTCAGGCCAGGAGGCGCAGGGCAGCCACTGCAGGTCTGAGCTGGACCACTTCATTGTCGTGCCCGCGGTGAAAGGTGACCCAGAGCCGCTCTGACCTATTGAACTCGCTCACTCTCTCGCTCATTCTCTCGGTCGCTCATTCTCTCACTCACACTCTCATTCACTCTCTCGCTCGCTCTCTCACTCATTCACTCACTCTCTCACTCGCTCGCCCATTCACTCACTCTCTCGCTCACTCACTCGCTCACTCACTCACTCTGTCACTCACTCTCTCGCTCACTCGCTCACTCATTCACTCACTCTCTCACTCGCTCGCCCATTCACTCACTCTCTCGCTCACTCTCTCGCTCACTCACTCGCTCACTCACTCACTCTGTCACTCACTCTCTCACTCATTCACTCACTCATTCACTCACTCATTCACTCACTCTCTCATTCACTCACTCTCTCACTCGCTCGCTCATTCACTCACTCTCTCGCTCACTCACTCACTCACTCTGTCACTCACTCTCTCACTCATTCACTCACTCATTCACTCACTCGCTCATTCACTCACTCACTCACTCGCTCGCCCATTCACTCACTCTCTCGCTCACTCACTCGCTCACTCACTCACTCACTCTGTCACTCACTCTCTCACTCATTCACGCACTCATTCACTCACTCTCTCACTCACTCACTCACTCGCTCGCCCATTCACTCACTCTCTCGCTCACTCACTCGCTCACTCACTCACTCTGTCACTCACTCTCTCGCTTACTCGCTCACTCATTCACTCACTCTCTCACTCGCTCGCCCATTCACTCACTCTCTCGCTCACTCACTCGCTCACTCACTCACTCTGTCACTCACTCTCTCGCTCACTCGCTCGCTCATTCACTCACTCGCGCGCTCACTCATTCAGTCACTCTCTCGATCGTTCGCTCACTCTCTCGCTCACTCACTCGCTCACTCTCTCGCTCACTTTCTCACTCATTCTCTTACTCGCTCGCTCGCTCGCTCACTCATTCTCTCGGTCGCTCTCTCGCTCGCTCACTCACTCTCTCACTCTCTCATTCACTCACACTCTCATTCACTCACTCTCTCTCTCGCTCATTCACTCACTCTCTCACTCTCTCATTCACTCTCTCTCATTCTCTGTCTCATTCACTCACTTTCTCACTGACTCTCTCACTCTCTCTCTCATTCCTATTGAACTCTCTCTCACTCACTCACCCAGAGAGCTCTGTCCTCTTGAACTCTCTCTCACTCACTCAGAGAGCTCTGACCTATTGAACTCTCTCTCACTCACTCACTCACCCAGAGAGCTCTGACCTATTGAACTCTCTCTCTCTCACTCACTCACCCAGAGTGCTCTGACCTATTAAATTCTCTCACTCACTCACTCACCCAGAGTGCTCTGACCTATTAAATTCTCTCACTCACTCACTCACCCAGAGTGCTCTGACCTATTAAATTCTCTCACTCACTCACTCACCCAGAGTGCTCTGACCTATTGAACTCTCTCTCTCTCACTCACTCACCCAGAGTGCTCTGACCTATTAAATTCTCTCACTCACTCACTCACCCAGAGTGCTCTGACCTATTAAATTCTCTCACTCACTCACTCACCCAGAGAGCTCTGACCTATTGAACTCACTCACTCACTCACCCAGAGTGCTCTGACCTATTGAACTCTCTCACTCACTCACTCACTCTCTCACTCACTCACCCAGAGAGCTCTGACCTATTGAACTCACTCACTTACTCACTCACCCAGAGTGCTCTGACCTATTGAACTCTCACTCACTCACTCACCTAGAGAGCTCTGACCTATTGAACTCTCTCTCTCACTCACTCACCCAGAGAGCTCTGACCTATTGAACTCTCTCTCACTCACCCAGAGAGCTCTGACCTATTGAACTCTCTCACTCACTCACCCAGAGAGCTCTGACCTATTGAACTCTCTCACTCACTCACCCAGAGAGCTCTGACCTATTGAACTCTCACTCACTCACTCACCCAGAGTGCTCTGACCTATTGAACTCTCACTCACTCACTCACCCAGAGTGCTCTGACCTATTGAACTCTCTCACTCACTCACCCAGAGAGCTCTGACCTATTGAACTCTCTCACTCACTCACCCAGAGAGCTCTGACCTATTGAACTCTCACTCACTCACTCACCCAGAGTGCTCTGACCTATTGAACTCTCTCTCTCTCTCTCACTCACTCACTCACCCAGAGAGCTCTGACCTATTGAACTCACTCACTCACTCACCCAGAGAGCTCTGACCTATTGACCTCTCACTCACTCACTCACCCAGAGAGCTCTGACCTATTGAACTCTCTCACTCACTCACCCAGAGAGCTCTGACCTATTGAACTCTCACTCACTCACTCACCCAGAGTGCTCTGACCTATTGAACTCACTCACTCACTCACCCAGAGAGCTCTGACCTATTGAACTCACTCACTCACTCACCCAGAGTGCTCTGACCTATTGAACTCTCTCTCTCACTCACTCACCCAGAGAGCTCTGTGCTATTGAACTCTCACTCACTCACTCACCCAGAGAGCTCTGACCTATTGAACTCACTCACTCACTCACCCAGAGTGCTCTGACCTATTGAACTCTCTCTCTCACTCACTCACCCAGAGAGCTCTGTGCTATTGAACTCTCACTCACTCACTCACCCAGAGAGCTCTGACCTATTGAACTCTCACTCACTCACTCACCCAGAGTGCTCTGACCTATTGAACTCACTCACTCACTCACCCAGAGTGCTCTGACCTATTGAACTCTCTCTCTCACTCACTCACCCAGAGAGCTCTGTGCTATTGAACTCTCACTCACTCACTCACCCAGAGTGCTCTGACCCATTGAACTCTCTCTCTCACTCACTCACCCAGAGAGCTCTGACCTATTGAACTCACTCACTCACTCACTCACCCAGAGAGCTCTGACCTATTGAACTCTCTCACTCACTCACTCACCCAGAGTGCTCTGACCTATTGAACTCTCTCTCTCTCACTCACCCAGAGAGCTCTGACCTATTGAACTCTCTCTCTCACTCACTCACCCAGAGTGCTCTGACCTATTGAACTCTCTCTCTCACTCACCCAGAGAGCTCTGACCTATTGAACTCTCTCATTCACTCACTCACTCGCTCTCTCATTCGCTCTCTCATTCGCTCTCTCACTCGCTCGCTCGCTCACTCGCTCACTCACTCATTCTCTCGGTCGCTCGCTCGCTCGCTCACTCATTCTCTCACTCACTCACTCACCCAGAGAGCTCTGACCTATTGAACTCTTTTACTCACTCACTCACTCAGAGAGCTCTGACCTATTGAACTCTCACTCACTCACTCACCCAGAGAGTTCTGACCTATTGAACTCTCTCACTCACTCACTCTCTCACTCACTCACTCAGTCACTCACTCACTCTCTCACTCACTCACCCAGAGTGCTCTGACCTATTCAGCATCCCCATTCACCTTCACCTGGTGGGGGGGGTGGTGGTGGTCCCCTTGGGTCTCAAGGTCCCTGTCCCACCCCCTCCTCTCCGTTGTGTGTCCCACCACCACCATCATCACCACCACCACCACCACCACCGGCACCGCCACCACCACCACCACCACCATCATCATCACCGCCACCCCCGCCACCACCACCACCACCGCCACCCCCACCACCACCACCACCACCCCCGCCACCTCCATCACCACCACCACCACCATCACCGCCACCATCACCACCACCGCCACCCCCACTACCACTGCCACCACCACCACCCCCACTACCACCACCACCATCACCACCATCACCACCACCACCACCATCACCACCACCACCGCCACCACCGCCACCACCGCCACCACCGCCACCCCCACCCCTATCCAGGTCTGGACGGAGCCAAGGGCGACAGGGGGGATCTGGGCCCCCCCGGAAAAGCGGAACCACAAGGTCCACCAGGTGACCCCCCTCTCGCACAGCCCCACGGGAGATGTTAGCTGGCTATTAGTGATGTTAGCTGGTGTTGGTGATGTTAGCTGGCTATTGATGATGTTAGCTGGTGTTGGTGATGTTAGCTGGCTATTGGTGATGTTAGCTGGTATTGGTGATGTTAGCTGGCTATTGATGATGTTAGCTGGTGTTGGTGATGTTAGCTGGCTATTGGTGATGTTAGCTAGCTATTAGTGATGTTAGCTGGTGTTGGTGATGTTAGCTGGTATTGGTGATGTTAGCTGGTATTGATGTTAGCTGGTATTGGTGATGTTAGCTGGTGTTGGTGATGTTAGCTGGTTATCGACGATGTTAGCTGCTATTGATGATGTTAGCTGGTATTGATGATGTTAGCTGGTGTTGATGATGTTAGCTGGTATTGATGATGTTAGCTGGTGTTGGTGATGTTAGCTGGTGTTGGTGATGTTAGCTGGTGTTGATGATGTTAGCTGGTGTTGGTGATGTTAGCTGGTGTTGGTGATGTTAGCTGGTATTGATGATGTTAGCTGGTATTGGTGATGTTAGCTGGTGTTGGTGATGTTAGCTGGTAATGGTGATGTTAGCTGGTAATGGTGATGTTAGCTGGTATTGATGATGTTAGCTGGTATTCGTGATGTTAGCTGGTAATGGTGATGTTAGCTGGTGTTGATGATGTTAGCTGGTATTGGTGATGTTAGCTGGTATTGATGATGTTAGCTGGTATTGGTGATGTTAGCTGGTATTGATGATGTTAGCTGGTATTGGTGATGTTAGCTGGTATTGATGATGTTAGCTGGTATTGGTGATGTTAGCTGGTATTGGTGATGTTAGCTGGTATTGGTGATGTTAGCTGGTATTGGTGATGTTAGCTGGTATTGATGTTAGCTGGTATTGGTGATGTTAGCTGGTGTTGGTGATGTTAGCTGGTTATCGACGATGTTAGCTGCTATTGATGATGTTAGCTGGTATTGATGATGTTAGCTGGTGTTGATGATGTTAGCTGGTATTGATGATGTTAGCTGGTGTTGGTGATGTTAGCTGGTGTTGGTGATGTTAGCTGGTGTTGATGATGTTAGCTGGTGTTGGTGATGTTAGCTGGTGTTGGTGATGTTAGCTGGTATTGATGATGTTAGCTGGTATTGGTGATGTTAGCTGGTGTTGGTGATGTTAGCTGGTAATGGTGATGTTAGCTGGTAATGGTGATGTTAGCTGGTATTGATGATGTTAGCTGGTATTCGTGATGTTAGCTGGTAATGGTGATGTTAGCTGGTGTTGATGATGTTAGCTGGTATTGGTGATGTTAGCTGGTATTGATGATGTTAGCTGGTATTGGTGATGTTAGCTGGTATTGATGATGTTAGCTGGTATTGGTGATGTTAGCTGGTATTGATGATGTTAGCTGGTATTGGTGATGTTAGCTGGTATTGGTGATGTTAGCTGGTATTGGTGATGTTAGCTGGTATTGGTGATGTTAGCTGGTATTGATGATGTTAGCTGGTATTGGTGATGTTAGCTGGTGTTGGTGATGTTAGCTGGCTATTGATGATGTTAGCTGGTATTGGTGATGTTAGCTGGTATTGATGATGTTAGCTGGCTATTAGTGATGTTAGCTGGCTATTAGTGATGTTAGCTGGTGTTGGTGATGTTAGCTGGCTATTAGTGATGTTAGCTGGTGTTGGTGATGTTAGCTGGTGTTGGTGATGTTAGCTGGTATTGGTGATGTTAGCTGGTGTTGGTGATGTTAGCTGGTGTTGGTGATGTTAGCTGGTATTGGTGATGTTAGCTGGTATTGGTGATGTTAGCTGGTATTGATGATGTTAGCTGGTTATCGACGATGTTAGCTGCTATTGATGATGTTAGCTGGTGTTGATGATGTTAGCTGGTATTGATGATGTTAGCTGGTGTTGGTGATGTTAGCTGGTGTTGGTGATGTTAGCTGGTGTTGATGATGTTAGCTGGTGTTGGTGATGTTAGCTGGTGTTGGTGATGTTAGCTGGTATTGATGATGTTAGCTGGTATTGGTGATGTTAGCTGGTGTTGGTGATGTTAGCTGGTAATGGTGATGTTAGCTGGTAATGGTGATGTTAGCTGGTATTGATGATGTTAGCTGGTATTCGTGATGTTAGCTGGTAATGGTGATGTTAGCTGGTGTTGATGATGTTAGCTGGTATTGGTGATGTTAGCTGGTATTGATGATGTTAGCTGGTATTGGTGATGTTAGCTGGTATTGATGATGTTAGCTGGTATTGGTGATGTTAGCTGGTATTGATGATGTTAGCTGGTATTGGTGATGTTAGCTGGTATTGGTGATGTTAGCTGGTATTGGTGATGTTAGCTGGTATTGGTGATGTTAGCTGGTATTGATGATGTTAGCTGGTATTGGTGATGTTAGCTGGTGTTGGTGATGTTAGCTGGCTATTGATGATGTTAGCTGGTATTGGTGATGTTAGCTGGCTATTGATGATGTTAGCTGGTATTGATGTTAGCTGGTATTGATGATGTTAGCTGGTATTGGTGATGTTAGCTGATATTGATGATGTTAGCTGGTATTGATGATGTTAGCTGGTATTGATGTTAGCTGGTATTGATGTTAGCTGGCTATTGGTGATGTTAGCTGGTATTGATGATGTTAGCTGGTATTGATGTTAGCTGGTATTGGTGATGTTAGCTGATATTGGTGATGTTAGCTGGTATTGGTGATGTTAGCTGGCTATTGATGATGTTAGCTGGTATTGGTGATGTTAGCTGGCTATTGATTATGTTAGCTGGTATTGATGATGTTAGCTGGTATTGATGTTAGCTGGTATTGGTGATGTTAGCTGGTATTGATGATGTTAGCTGGTATTGATGTTAGCTGGTATTGGTGATGTTAGCTGGTATTGGTGATGTTAGCTGGTATTGATGATGTTGGCTGGCTATTGACGATGTTAGCTGGTATTGGTGATGTTAGCTGGTATTGATGATGTTAGCTGGTATTGATGATGTTAGCTGATGTTGGTGATGTTAGCTGGTATTGATGATGTTAGCTGGTATTGGTGATGTTAACTGGTATTGATGATGTTAGCTGGTATTGACGATGTTAGCTGGCTATTGGTGATGTTAGCTGGCTATTGGTGATGTTAGCTGGTATTGGTGATGTTAGCTGGCTATTGGTGATGTTAGCTGGTATTGGTGATGTTAGCTGGTATTGATGATGTTAGCTGGTATTGATGATGTTAGCTGGTATTGATGATGTTAGCTGGTATTGGTGATGTTAGCTGGTATTGGTGATGTTAGCTGGTATTGATGATGTTAGCTGGTATTGATGATGTTAGCTGGTATTGGTGATGTTAGCTGGTATTGATGATGTTAGCTGGTATTGATGATGTTAGCTGGTATTGATGATGTTAGCTGGTATTGGTGATGTTAGCTGGCTATTGATGATGTTAGCTGGTATTGATGATGTTATCTGGTATTGGTGATGTTAGCTGGTATTGATGATGTTAGCTGGTATTGATGATGTTAGCTGGTATTGGTGATGTTAGCTGGTATTGATGATGTTAGCTGGTATTGATGATGTTAGCTGGTATTGATGATGTTAGCTGGTATTGGTGATGTTAGCTGGCTATTGATGATGTTAGCTGGTATTGATGATGTTAGCTGGTATTGATGATGTTAGCTGGTATTGATGATGTTAGCTGGTATTGATGATGTTAGCTGGTATTGGTGATGTTAGCTGGTATTGGTGATGTTAGCTGGTATTGATGATGTTAGCTGGTATTGATGATGTTAGCTGGTATTGATGATGTTAGCTGGCTATTGATGATGTTGCTGCTACTCGCAACTGATTTCCCAGATTTTGCTCCTCGATTTATTTAATTTCGAATCTCGCCTGCGGTTGCCTTGGCAGGGCCAGAGACCAAATGACTTAGCTGGACAGACGTTCCGCACCCCCTGCCTTAAATAGAGAGAGGGGAGGGAGGGAGGCGCTGGGGACAGAGAGAGTTCATAGTTCATATTCTCATAGTTCCAACCGCTACAAACAATAAAACACAAAAACACGAACAACAATAATAGCATCTTAAAGTGACTCCTGCTATGTGTGACTCAGTGCAAAACAGAAAATCCACGGGAAAAAAAACATCAAAATATTCCTGAATAAAAAGCACCGTGTACACCACCAACGCTGCGTGGAAAAAATCCCGGTGGGATGCAAAGTCAAACAACAACAACAACATCAACAACAAGACGACTTAGATTAAGGCCATCAGTCTAACTCTGCACTAGAACAAACCAGCGGACATAGTGGCCAGAGGTGACACAATGAAGGTCCTCAATGATCGTGAGCAGAGGGTCAGGGACTCCCAAAAGCACGAAGAACAACCCAGAGCCCAGGCCTACTGATGGTATCGTAGTGCCTTGACCAGGTCAATAAAGCAGAGATGTAGGTCTTGTTGGAATTCCCGACACCTCTGCTGTAGCAGACGGGACAGAAAATATGGCATCTGTGCAGGACCGCCCTTTCCTGAAACACACAGACACACACACAGACACACACACACATACACACACATACACACACAGAGACACACACACAGACACACAGACACACAGACACACATACACACACAGAGACACACACACAGACACACACACAGAGACAAACACACAGACACACACAGACACACACACATACACACACAGAGACACACACACAGACACACACACAGACACACACAGACACACACATACACACACACAGAGACACACACACAGACACACACACAGACACACACACAGACACACACATACACACACAGAGACACACAGAGACACACACACAGAAACACACACAGACACACAGACACACACAAACAGAGACACACATACAGATACACAACAACAACAACCGCCATTCGCCACTAAGTGGCGGTGACGTCACCACGACGCTTGTGCCAGGCCATGTGCACCTTGAGGCCACGTGAAGTGTCGAACGCCCGCTGGCAGGCGGTCACGGGTCAGACCCAGCAGGTGCCACGGGTCGACTGACTGAGATGACTGGCTGATGCACCACCTGTGCCCCCTACTGTGCCAACCTGCTGTGCTTTAGCCACCCGGCGCTCCGCTCGTTGTTGTGAGCGTCGCTCCTCCGCCCTCCGTTGTTGTTGGAGGGCGACTGCCTCCAACAAGCATATAGTGTAGTGTTTCGTAGTATAGTGTAGTGTATAGTGTAGTGTATAGTAGTGTATAGTAGTGTATAGTGTAGTGTATAGTAGTGTATAGTGTAGTGTATAGTGTAGTGTATAGTAGTGTATAGTGTAGTGTATAGTAGTGTATAGTGTAGTGTGTAGTAGAGTAGTGTATAGTGTAGTGCACAATGTAGTGTATAGTAGTGTAGTGTATAGTGTAGTGTATAGTAGTGTAGTGTATAGTGTAGTGTATAGTAGTGTAGTGTATAGTGTAGTGTATAGTGTATAGTAGTGTAGTGTATAGTAGTGTAGTGTATAGTGTAGTGTATAGTGTAGTGTATAGTAGTACAGTGTATAGTGTATTGTATAGTGTAGTGTATAGTGTAGTGTATAGTAGTGTAGTGTATAGTAGTGTATAGTGTAGTGTATAGTGTAGTGTACTAGTACAGCACTAGTGTATAGTGTAGTGTATAGTGTAGCATATAGTGTAGTGTTTCGTAGTATAGTGTAGTGTATAGTGTAGTGTATAGTGTAGCGTATAATAGTGTAGTGTATAGTAGTGTAGAGTGTAGTGTATAGTAGTGTATAGTGTAGTGTATAATAGTGTAGTGTATAGTAGTGTAGTGTATAGTGTAGTGTATAGTGTAGTGTATAGTAGTGTAGTGTATAGTAGTGTAGTATAGTGTAGTGTATAGTGTAGTGTATAGTGTAGAGTAGTGTATAGTGTAGTGTATAGTAGTGTATAGTGTAGTGTATTGTAAGGTGTAGTGTATAGTGCAGTGTATAGTGTAGTGTATAGTAGTGTATAGTGTAGTGTATAGTGTAGTGTATAGTAGTGTAGTGTATAGTGTAGTGTAGTGCATAGTAGTGTAGTATAGTGTAGTGTATAGTAGTGTATAGTAGTGTAGTGTATAGTGTAGTGTAGTGCATAGTAGTGTAGTATAGTGTAGTGTATAGTAGTGTATAGTAGTGTAGTATGGTGTAGTGTATAGTAGTGTAGTATGGTGTAGTGTATAGTAGTGTAGTGTATAGTAGTGGAGTATAGTGTAGTGTATAGTAGTGTATAATAGTGTAGTGTATAGTAGTGTAGTGTATAGTGTAGTGTATAGTGTAGTGTATAGTAGTGTAGTGTATAGTAGTGTAGTATAGTGTAGTGTATAGTGTAGTGTATAGTGTAGAGTAGTGTATAGTGTAGTGTATAGTAGTGTATAGTGTAGTGTATTGTAAGGTGTAGTGTATAGTGCAGTGTATAGTGTAGTGTATAGTAGTGTATAGTGTAGTGTATAGTGTAGTGTATAGTAGTGTAGTGTATAGTGTAGTGTAGTGCATAGTAGTGTAGTATAGTGTAGTGTATAGTAGTGTATAGTAGTGTAGTGTATAGTGTAGTGTAGTGCATAGTAGTGTAGTATAGTGTAGTGTATAGTAGTGTATAGTAGTGTAGTATGGTGTAGTGTATAGTAGTGTAGTATGGTGTAGTGTATAGTAGTGTAGTGTATAGTAGTGGAGTATAGTGTAGTGTATAGTAGTGTATAATAGTGTAGTGTATAGTAGTGTAGTATGGTGTAGTGTATAGTAGTGTAGTATGGTGTAGTGTATATTAGTGTATAGTGTAGTGTATAGTGTAGTGTATAGTGTAGTGTATAGTGTAGTGTATAGTAGTGTAGTGTGTAGTGTAGTGTATAGTAGTGTAAAGTGTAGTGTATAGTAGTGTAGTGTATAGTGTATAGTAGTGTAGTATAGTGTAGTATATAGTGTATAGTAGTGTATAGTAGTATAGTAGTGTAGTGTATCGTGTACTATACTAGTACAGCACACCGGCTGTGTGCTGCAGAGCCAAGCCACAACGTTAACAACCTGAGCACGGCGTGTCGCCAGTAATCACAACCAGCTTCATCAGGCAACAGCCAGTAACCTCTACTCTCATGCTGTGACGTGCCCCCCCCCCCTCCCCCCCGTGACCCCCCGTGACCCCCGCAGGACCGAAGGGCGATGTGGGTGCAAGCGGACACTCGGGAGCTAAAGGGGACAAAGGTAATGGCAGTCGCAGCGACTTCGCGATTCTGCCGATGACGAATCGGCACTCACCGCGGCGCCGCTCACCACACGCTCCCCGGCTCGGCCGTGCCCCTCTGCCGCTGCGTTGCCGCGGGGGGGGGGGCGGGGGGCGGGGGGGGGGTGGCCGCGTTACGGCAGCCTCCCGGCCTACCGGGACAACAGCCTGCCGGCCTACCGTGCCGGCCTACCGGGACGACAGCCTGCCGGCCTACCGGGACGACAGCCTGCCGGCCTACCGGGACGATAGCCTCTCGGTCTACCGGGACGATAGCCTCCCTCCCGGCCTACCGGGACAACAGCCTGCCGGCCTACCGGGACGGCAACCTCTGTGTGTGTGTGTGCCACCACAGTGGCGGGCCTATCGTGGGCGGTGCTGCTCGCTACTGCCAACTGCAGCACGTGCTCCCCCTCACAGGCTGTTAGGCTGTGGGTCTCGCAGGGCCAGGTGTGATTCTCGCCACGAGGTTTCCGGGTGGGGGACAGCCGTTTGCGATGACCTTCTGCCCAGACTCCCATCATGGCAGGGCCACATTGAACACCCCACCCCCCTCGGGGTTGCTCCAGGTGACAGGAGACCCACCGTGATTGGCCACGGCGAGCAGGAGAGGCTGCCCGCTCCTCTGTCGGGAGCTGGACCGGTACCGCCTGGACCAATGCGGATTACGGGAGGTCCGGTAGACCGGCCCTGGTGTTCGTGTTTTGATTTAGCGTGCTGATCTTAAAGGTGCATTGAAGAATTGTTGATACTCCGACCGATGCTCCTACTGTTGTGGAGTGACTCATGCTGCCAGCTATGGCTACAGGGTTTGTGTGTTGCATGTTATTTATGTAGTTTATTGTTACAAAATTCGGTCACAGTCCCTGTGATCACCGTTACATTGCGTTTATGGCTTTATATTTTTGCGATTTCGAAAACGGTTTTTGGTTTGGTCATGCTTTTGTTTTGTTGTAGCACGGAGTAAGACTGATGGCCTTAATCTAAAGTCGTCTTGTGGTTGTTGTTGTTGTTGTTTGACTTGCATCCCACTGGGATTTTTGCACGCAGCATTGTTGGTGTACACGGTGCTTTTTTCAGGAATATTTTGCTGTTTTTTTTCCATGGATTTTCTGTTTTGCACAGAGTCACACATAGCAGGAGCCACTTTAAGGTGTTTCCTTGTTCGTGTTTTTGTTTTTTGTTTGTTGCGGTTGCACCCGATTCAAGAGCCGGATGGCTCACAGGGGCAATACCAAATATAAATGAAACTGAAAAACTGAAACTGTGCGTGTGCAGAGGAGAGGCTGCCTGCTGCTCCGTCGGGAGCTGGACCGGTACCGCCTGGACCAATGTGGATTACGGGAGGTCCGGTAGACCGGCCCTGGTGTTTGTGCGTGTGCAGAGGAGAGGCTGCCAGCTCCTCCGTCGGGAGCTGGACCGGTACCGCCTGGACCAATGTGGATTACGGGAGGTCCGGTAGACCGGCCCTGGTATTTGTGCGTGTGCAGGGGATAGGCTGCCAGCTCCTCCATCGTGGAGCTGGACCGGCACCTACCGGTCGGCGCGTCTTTCTTCCCACGCGTGACAGTCCTCCCTCGTTTGTCTTCACCCCCTACCCCACCCTACCTACCCACCACCACCACCACCGCCCCCGCCCGGTCAGGAGACACGTGCGCCTGCGACGTGGCCGAGAAGCAGCTGACGGCGCTTCAGAAGCAGGTCGACAGCCTCAAGGCGATCTTCGCCGTGACGGCGAGCAAAGGTTTGCGGGGACGGGCGGCCCCTTCCCCGATCCGGCCGCCTCCCTCGCCGATTCCCCGGTCCGGAGCATGAGCTCACAGCGACGGCGGTTGGCTCCGGTCGATTTCGATCGAGAGCTTTCGTACACTGCAAGGGTTCACCTACCTTGGGTTCTTTCGGTAAAGTCGCCACGTGGAATGAGAGTGAAAGAATAGTAAATCAATAAAAATAATATAACGCAACGGGTCCGTTCCTTTCACCTGAAGAAGGCCACTTGTGCTGCGGCCGGAGCGGCGCGAGAATTTTATCGATTTCGTTATTTTATTCTCATTCCACGTGGTGACCTTCACCGAAAGAACCCAAAGAGGTTGATTCCAGTGGGTCGCGGATTCACTCGTTCATCGCGCACCCTTAAGAGGGAGGGGGGGGCTTCGCTTTAGTCTCCGTCAGGCATCAGAAGTCGTCGCCCCCCCCTGTTTTGTAACCCAAAACGAACGGTGCCTCGTGGCATTTAAACGAGGGATGTTCATGTACGGAGACGCCAACAACGTTATGAATGCATGACGTACAAAAAGCGGAAAGTAGTTAACCGACACATCAATTAATATTTTCTGTCGCGACGAGGGCCCGTCATCAGCAGGGGGAATTGTCGGTAAGCGGTCACGTTGGGCTGTATGGAGGCACTACACTGCACTATACACTGCACTATACACTACACTGTACACTGCACTGTACACTACACTATACACTACACTATACACTACACTATACACTACACTATACACTACACTATACACTACTACACTACACTATACACTACACTATACACTACACTATACACTACACTATACACTACACTATACACAACACTATACACTACAACACTAATACACTACTACACTATACACTACACTATACACTACACTATACACTACACACGTACATGAACACGGACCCTCACAAGATCCTCGTCCACCCACCACCACCACCGCCACAACCACCACCACCACCCCTCACGTCCTCCCTCCTCCTGCTCCCCCCCACACACACACCCACACCCCCACACCAACCCCACAGACTCCGGCAAGGTGTACCGGCTGGCGCCGCCCAAGCTGCCGTACGCGGCCGCCCGCCGACACTGCCGGGGCTTGGGCGGCGAGCTGGCGACGCCTCGCTCCGCCGCCGACAACGAGTCGCTGAGCCTCAGCATCCCCGCGGGCGAGGTCGCCTACGTCGGCGTCGACGACGCGGAACGCGAGGGCCACTTCGCCTACGCCGCTACCGCCGCCGGCGGTAGAGGCGGAGGAGGCAGTGGAGGCGGTGGCGGCGGAGGCGGCGGAGGCGGCGGAGGCGGCGGAGGCGGTGGAGGCGGTGGCGGCGGAGGCGGTCCCCTCCCGGTCACCTACACCAACTGGAAGCAAGGGGAGCCCAACAACGCGGGCGGCGACGAGGACTGCGTCGTCGTCGGCGCCGCTGGGGCCAACGGGGGCAAGTGGAACGACGTCCCCTGCACCCGCCTGTACCACTTCGTCTGCGAGATGCCGCTCTGAGACACACCCCCCCACCACCACCACCAATCCTGCCCCCCGCCCCCCGCAACCGAAGAGCCTGGTTGGATCTCTCTGTCTGTGTGTGTGTGTCTGTGTGTCTGTGTGTGTGTCTGTGTCTGTGTGTCTGTGTGTGTGTCTGTGTGTGTGTGTCTGTGTGTGTCTGTGTGTGTGTGTGTCTGTGTGTGTGTCTGTGTGTGTGTGTGTCTGTGTCTGTGTGTCTGTGTGTGTGTGTCTGTGTGTGTGTGTCTGTGTGTGTGTGTCTGTGTGTGTGTGTCTGTGTGTGTGTGTGTCTGTGTGTGTGTGTGTCTGTGTGTCTCTGTGTGTGTGTCTGTGTGTGTGTGTCTGTGTGTGTGTCTGTGTGTCTGTGTGTGTGTCTCTGTGTGTGTGTGTCTCTCGTCTCTCTCCGTGTCTGTGTCTGTGTGTCTGTGTGTGTGTCTCTGTCTCTGTATCTGTGTGTCTCTGTCTCTCTGTCTCTCGCTCTCTGTCTCTCTCATCTCTCTGTCTGTGTGTCTGTGTGTGTGTCTCTGTGTGTCTGTCTCTCTGTGTGTGTCTCTGTGTGTCTGTCTCTGTGTCTCTCTGTGTCTCTGTGTCTTTGTCTGTGTCTGTTTCTCTGTCGCTCTGTCTCTCTCTCTCTCTCTCATCTCTCTGTCTCTCTGTGTCTCTCATCTCTCTGTCTCTCTGTCTCTCTCACTCTCTCTCCTCTCTCTGTCTCTCTGTCTGTCTCTCTGTCTCTCTGTCTCTCTCTCTATCTCATCTCTCTCTCTCCCATCTCTCTGTCTCTCCCATCTCTCTCTCTCATCTCTCTCTCCCGTCTCTCTCTCTCTCCCGTCTCTCTCTCTCTCCCCCACCAACTACCTACCCCAGCCCACATAACCACCCCCCAACCTCTGTATCGACAGATCTTAGTGGTACAGGCTGCGTGATTGACACTGAGTAGGTGGTGTCTAGACAGATCTTAGTGGTACAGGCTGAGTGATTGACACTGAATTGTGTCTAGACAGATCTTAGTGGTACAGGCTGAGTGATTGACACTGAGTAGGTAGTGTCTAGACAGATCTTAGTGGTACAGGCTGCGTGATTGACACTGAATGTGTCCTCTACTTACGGACGAGTTTGGTTCCAAAGGTTTGTAAGTCGATTTGTTCGTAAGCCCAACTTTAGTCCCTGTCGATTCCAAACGTGATTTGACGGCGTGTACACTAAACACACGCACGCATGGCTTTAAAAGATGCGTCATCTCCTGCAGTTGTAGATGCCACTGGTTCTTCACGTTCTGCAAAAGTAGATGCCACTGGTTCTTCACGTTCTGTAGATGTAGATGCCACTGGTTCTTCACGTTCTGCAGATGTAGATGCCACTGGTTCTTCACGTTCTGCAGATGTAGATGCCACTTGTTCTTCACGTTCTGTAGATGTAGATGCCACTGGTTCTTCATGTTCTGCTGATGTAGATGCCACTGGTTCGTCACGTTCTGTAGATGTAGATGCCGCTGGTTCTTCACGTTCTGTAGATGTAGATGCCACTGGTTCTTCACGTTCTGTAGATGTAGATGCCGCTGGTTCTTCACGTTCTGCAGATGTAGATGCCACTGGTTCTTAACGTTCTGCAGATGTAGATGCCACTGGTTCTTCACGTTCTGCAGATGTAGATGCCACTGGTTCTTCACGTTCTGTAGATGTAGATGCCACTGGTTCTTCACGTTCTGTAGATGTAGATGCCACTGGTTCTTCACGTTCTGTAGATGTAGATGCCACTGGTTCTTCACGTTCTGCAGAAGAAGATGCCACTGATTCTTCACGTTCTGCAGATGTAGATGCCACTGGTTCTTGACGTTCTGTAGATGCCGCTGGTTCTGCAGAAGTAGATGCCACTGGTTCTTCACGTTCTGCAGAAGTAGATGCCACTGGTTCTTAACGTTCTGTAGATGCCACTGGTTCTTGACGTTCTGTAGATGTAGATGCCACTGGTTCTTGACGTTCTGTAGATGTAGATGCCACTGGTTCTTCACGTTCTGCAGATGTAGATGCCACTGGTTCTTCACGTTCTGCAGATGTAGATGCCACTGGTTCTTCACGTTCTGCAGATGTAGATGCCACTGGTTCTTCACGTTCTGCAGATGTAGATGCCACTGGTTCTTCACGTTCTGTAGATGTAGATGCCACTGGTTCTTCCCATTCTGCAGATGTAGATGCCACTGGTTCTTCACGTTCTGTAGATGTAGATGCCACTGGTTCTTCACGTTCTGCAGATGTAGATGCCACTGGTTCTTCACGTTCTGCAAACGTAGATGCCACTGGTTCTTCACGTTCTGTAGATGCCGCTGGTTTTTCACGTTCTGTAGATGTAGATGCCACTGGTTCTTCACGTTCTGTAGATGTAGATGCCACTGGTTCTTCACGTTCTGTAGATGTAGATGCCACTGATTTTTCACGTTCTGTAGATGTAGATGCCACTGGTTTTTCACGTTCTGTAGATGTAGATGCCATTGGTTTTTCACGTTCTGTAGATGTAGATGCCACTGGTTTTTCATGTTCTGTAGATGTAGATGCCACTGGTTTTTCACGTTCTGTAGATGTAGATGCCACTGGTTTTTCACGTTCTGTAGATGTAGATGCCACTGGTTCTTCCCGTTCTGTAGATGTAGATGCCACTGGTTCTTCACGTTCTGTAGATGTAGATGCCACTGGTTTTTCACGTTCTGTAGATGTAGATGCCACTGGTTCTTCCCGTTCTGTAGATGTAGATGTGTCGTGCCACAGCAATGGAGCAACTCCGCTGGCGCTGCCATTCCCCCGCACACCCCCACTAAACACAAACACACCCACACTAAACACACACACACTCGCACACCCCCACTAAACACACGCACACCCCCACTGAACACACACACCCCCACTAAACACACACACACACAAAACACACACACCCCCACTAAACACACACACACACACACAAAACACACACACACCCCCACTAAACACACACACACACAAAACACACACACCCCCACTAAACACACACACACTAAACACACACACGCACCCACGTAGGGTCTCGTTGCGGGCGGGGGGGGGGGTCACATGGTACCACGGGTTTTTACCCGAGGGGCCTCTAGCGGGGATGTCCCACGGTTTCCCGGCGCCAGGAGATTGGCCGACCCCCCCCCTTCCCCCCCAGGCCAAATTGCATCGCGGTCCCCGTGAATTGTGTCGTAGCATTGCGCGGGAGCGACAAAGCTCACCGGGCTGACCGCGATGAGAGGCCCTCACGGCACACGGGGGCTGCGAATTCCGTCGGGCGGGGCCGCTCCGGTTCAAACCGGTTGAGTCCCGGGGGGGTTTGGGGAGGGCAACGGGAAGAGGCACAACGGGAAAGCGACGCTCCGGGCAAAGGGGGCGGGGGCATCGGTCTGAAGATCGAGAGGTGGGCGGCCCCCCGATTAGGCCGCGCGGTACGGGGCACCACGTCACCGCGGATCTTTGGATCCCGAGGTCGCTCGAAGGGAGGGAGCGTGGACAAAATGTCGTGGGAGTTTCTCTCCCCCCCCCCCGACCGCGACGGTCCGACTCGCCGGGCCGCTAAGACTCGACCCCGGGCAGCGAGAACCTCTCGGAGCCTCTCGGACCCACGTGCCTCCGACTGAGTCCACGCGGTGAGAAGACGACAGTGGTGGCGGTGGGTGGGGGTGGGTGGGCGGCACCCACAGGGATTGAACAGGGATTGAACAGGGATTGAACAGGGATTGAACAGGGATTGGACAGGGATTGAACAGGGATTGGACAGGGATTGAACAGGGATTGAACAGGGATTGAACAGGAATTGAACAGGGATTGAACAGGGATTGAACAGGGATTGAACAGGGATTGAAGAGGGATTGAAGAGGGATTGAACAGGGATTGGACAGGGATTGAACAGGGATTGAACAGGGATTGAAGAGGGATTGAACAGGGATTGAACAGGGATTGAACAGGGATTGGACAGGGATTGAACAGGGATTGAACAGGGATTGAACAGGGATTGAACAGGGATTGAACAGGGATTGAACAGGGATTGGACAGGGATTGAACAGGGATTGAACAGGGATTGAACAGGGATTGAACAGGGATTGAACAGGGATTGAACAGGGATTGAACAGGGATTGAAGAGGGATTGAACAGGGATTGAACAGGGATTGAACAGGGATTGAACAGGGATTGAACAGGGATTGAACAGGGATTGAACAGGGATTGAACAGGGATTGAACAGGGATTGGACAGGGATTGAACAGGGATTGAACAGGGATTGAACAGGGATTGGACAGGGATTGAACAGGGATTGAAGAGGGATTGAACAGGGATTGAAGAGGGATTGAACAGGGATTGAACAGGGATTGAACAGGGATTGGACAGGGATTGAACAGGGATTGAACAGGGATTGAAGAGGGATTGAACAGGGATTGAACAGGGATTGAACAGGGATTGAACAGGGATTGAACAGGGATTGAACAGGGATTGAACAGGGATTGAAGAGGGATTGAACAGGGATTGAACAGGGATTGAACAGGGATTGAACAGGGATTGAACAGGGATTGAACAGGGATTGAACAGGGATTGAACAGGGATTGAACAGGGATTGAACAGGGATTGAAGAGGGATTGAACAGGGATTGAACAGGGATTGAACAGGGATTGAACAGGGATTGAACAGGGATTGAACAGGGATTGAACAGGGATTGAACAGGGATTGAACAGGGATTGAACAGGGATTGAACAGGGATTGAAGAGGGATTGAACAGGGATTGAACAGGGATTGAACAGGGATTGAAGAGGGATTGAACAGGGATTGAAGAGGGATTGAACAGGGATTGAACAGGGATTGAACAGGGATTGAAGAGGGATTGAACAGGGATTGAACAGGGATTGAACAGGGATTGAACAGGGATTGAACAGGGATTGAACAGGGATTGAACAGGGATTGAACAGGGATTGAACAGGGATTGAACAGGGATTGAACAGGGATTGA